TAACTTTAATACTTATCACACTGAATGGCTTGGCTCTAGTGTTAGTGACTCTGCAGACGTTAAAGCCCACAACTTTTACCCTTCTCAATCCCTAACTCAAATAGTCAAATTTTCAACTCTCTTTCCAGACAACTCTTCTCCATGGTTTTCCTCACATTGTGCTGCTGCTACAATTTCCAATCGAAACCATTACTTCCAAATCTATCAGCAAAACAGTTCTCCAGAAAACATACCTCTGTTTACTATTGTTAGAAACCATTGTAAATAGGTTTCGTCTAAAGCCAAAGCTCACTAATCCCAAGTCATAAAATCTCGTATTTCATCACAAAAATAAGGCTCTTGTGACTGGAGAATATTTAACAGTATTAATAATTAGGGCAAATCTGTTATTCCACCTCTCTTGTATGGTTCAGACTTTGTCACCTCATGTAAAGACAAAGCTAAATTGTTTGCTAAGAACTTTTCATCAATATCATCTTATGATTCCACTAGTTGCTAGGGTGTCCCAAAAAAAAAACATTTTTGAAAAATATAATCAGAGGCCCCCTTAACGTGTTCTATATGATAAAAAAACACTGGATTTAATTTTTTTTTTAATAAAAAATATTTTTAGGGGTCCCCCAAGACCCATCACCATTTAATGGGTCCCTAATATTAATAGGAAAAACGTTTTTCAAAAGTATGTCTTCTTGGGACTCAAGTAGCAAAATTATTTAAAAACTTCAAAAATAATCATCATTTCATAAAAAATTTATTATTTTAGATTTTAGTGAACAGAAAATGACATTTTTTAACTAAAAATAAAAAATAGGGAATTTAACAAGATTTTGTGATAATAATTTCTTTAGCTATATTTTTGCATAAAATAATGATTATTTTATAATTTTTAAAAAATTCTGATTCTTTTGAGATCCAACATGGTATACTTTTAAAGAACTTTTTTTTTGATAATTATAGGGATCCATCTGATATTCAAGGGTCTTGGGGGACGCCTAAAAATATTTTTTATTTAAAGAAAATTTAAATCCAGTGTTTTTTCATCATATAGAACACATTAAGGGGGCCTCTGATTATATTTTTTAAAAATGTTTTTTTTGGGACACCCTACTAGTTGCGTTCTACCTAATATAACCGTCAAACATGTTGATCCATTGCTTGACATTTGTATCACTATAACTCCTGTATCAAAAGTGATTTCTTGCATAGACTCTTCTACAGCTTGTGGTCCAGATAACATACCTGTTGTAGTCTTGCAAAAGTGTTCTCCGGAGCTGTCATCCATACTTTCAAAACTATTTAACAAGTGCTTATCAGAGCCTTGTTTTCCATCTTGTTGGAAAGTGGGATCTGTTATCCTTATTTTCAAAAATTCTGGAGAGCAATCTGATTCATCTAACTACTGTCCTATTAGTCTTCTTCCTAACATGCGGTATGTGGTATGCGGTAGTGGTAGAGCGCTTGCTTCATAAACGAGTGGTTCCGAGTTCGATCCCCACCACGTCCCTGGTAGTACCGCGCTCAACTTGTTTCTCTGCGCAGCGGCCTTGTTTGTCAAGGTTCGTGTTTCGGAGTTATAGAGTTGAGAGAGTATAAAAAAAATAAGTAGCCTCCTTGTCTGTAGTGGCCTTCTCGGTCTTGAGGAAGTGAAGTATAATAAAAAAAAAAAAAAAAAAAAACATAGACAAGGTTTTTGAACTTTTAATTAACTAAAACTTAATTTCACATCTTGAATCTAATAACTTACTTTCTGATCATCAATATAGATTTTGAGCTTCTCTTTCTACAGCTGATTTGCTAACAGTAATAACCGATAGATTTTACCATGCATTAGACAGAGGTGGAGAAGTATAGGCTATTGCTCCTGATATTTCTAAAGATTTTGATAAAGTTTGGCATGCTGGTTTTCTCTATAAGTTTTCTTCTTACGGTGTATCTGGTAACATCTTTAAGATAATTGCGTCCTTCCTTTCCAATCGTAGTATAAAAGTTATCGTTGATGAACAGCACTCTTCTTCTTATCCTGTAACTTCAGGGGCTCTTCAAGGTGCAATCCTTGGCTCTATACTCGTTTTAATTTAAATTAATGACTTTACAGATATTCTCATATCTAAAGTAGCATTGTTCGCTGATGACACTAACATTTTTTCTTGTCTTGATAAGAAGAGAACACTTTCTAATTGCTTGGATGGGGCACTTGAGCTTGAAAAGCATCTCACTTCTGCTACAGCATGGGGCTCACTGTGGCTGGTAAACTTTAATTCAGATAAAACTCAATTTCTTTTTCAGCCAATTGTTATCACAGTGTTTTAGATCTTTATATATTCAGGAACGGTAATGTGCTCGATGAGTCATTTACCCTTCATCTTCTAGGATTAACTCTTACTTCCGATCTTTCTTGGAAACAGTATACCAAATCTATTGCAAAATTAGCATCTGCCAAGGTCTCTTTATTGAGCTCGACACTTTCTTACTCTGGATTTTATTCTTTATCTCTATATATCTCAAATCTTTCATTGTATGGAATACTGTTGCCATATCTGGGGCGGATCTTCTAATGATGCCCTTTCTCTTTTAGACAAGGTGCAAAAATGCTTTGTAAACATAGTTGGACCTGCTTTTGCAACCAACCTTCAACCATTATCACATCAACGTAATTTGCTTCTCTTTTTCTTTTCTACAAATACTATAATGGGCACTGCTCTAAAGAGCTAGCGTCTTTTGTGCCATCTACTATAATTCATTCTCATGTTACTTGTCACTCAATTAAGTCTCATTCTTTTTCTAGAATTCCAAAGAACTGGTGTTCGAGGTTTTTTTCCTTGAACACCAGTTCTTTGGAATTTGTTTTCTTCAACTTGCTTTCCTGATTCATATAATTTCCAATCTTTTAAATCGTCAGTCAATCTCTAACAATCCTAATCTTTTCTCTTTCAGTAACTTCCAACTCTTATAGAGGTTGCTTGCAGCTTTGTTGGAAGCGAAGATGTAATTAAAAAAAAAAATTATTTAAAAGGATCCCTAAGTGCTCCTATCATATGATCTCATATGAAAGAGCATAAAAAAAAAAATGTAAGTTTTTTTTCTTTTTTACTAAATTGTAATAATAAATGCATGCTAACAAAAAGCAATTGCCGAAATCACTAAAAAACAATTTGATTTTTCACCATTGAAACTCGATTGTTAGTCGTTATAAATCACGTTAGTACGTCACAACAACTTTAGAATATCTACTTCGATTTTCAAAAAAAAAGTCGTGATTAAATAGTTAAGTTTTAATCAAGTTTTTTTAATTAGTTTTGCAAAAACATTATAATAGCATTCGGTTGAAAGACGTCGTTAAAAAAAAGTTATTAAGTAATAGTTTTAAATAGTTTAGAACTTATAAAAAAGTCTTACAGGGCTCGTATTAAGTGTATCGCTATCGCGATTGCTACACACACTTTTGTGATTAGTTTTTTCTTAAAAAAAAATCTTTTCGCGACTTGTTTTTTTTTTTGGTTGATTAATTACTTTTTTTCTAGCTTAGCATTTTTTTTAGCAATTCTTAAAAGTAATGTTTTTATCATAAAGAATGTCACACAAAATTTATTATTCTGAATAGATAGATGAATAGATGATTTGCTCTTTCGCGCTGAGATTTTCTTTCAATGTAAAACATTTTTTAATTTAAATTACTTTAAATCTCTGCGTGGAAAATTTTTACAAGGTCATTAAAGCAAAAAGTTGAAAAGTTGGTTTTTATCTTGGTTTATCAAAACTTCATGTTTAAAATAAGGCTTAGAAACGTTAGAGCAAAAAAATTACTGACTTTTATTTGCATTTTTATACTGTTTAAAAAAAAAAAACTAATAAAAAAGAATTAATTGTTATTATTATTAATTCTAATAATTACTAATTAATATATTAATTCTAATAATTATTAATTATTATATTATAATTCTTTTTTATTAGTTTTTTTTTTCAAACAGTATAAAAAAGCTAATAAAAACCAGCAATTTTTTTATTTTAACGTTTTTAAGCCTTATTTTAAACATGAAATATAATTCGATTTATTAAACCAAATTTTTTTGTTTCATCTTTTATTGGAAAACTTAAAATAGAAAAATTGAATGAAAACATCAACCATTTAAATGAAAAACTTAATTATATTTAAACTTTTATTAGTCATCTAAAACATTTTACAATAATTATTTTTTTTATAAAGCAAAAATGAGAGTAACCGTCACTTTTAAAACCATGAAAATTACTGAAATAAATTTATTTTTCTACTAAGAAAATATTTTAAATAAACTTTCATGTGTCTAAGTCAATATTCATTTGTTTTTAACTGACTAAAAAGAGTTTAAAATTTGACTTCTATTCATTTTTAGCCGTGGAATTGCCCTTATAACACAAATATATAAATCAAAATTATAAAAAAAATTTTAATATACAAATATATTTTCACAAAATGCTACAAAACTTATTCTTGTAAGTAATTATGTGTTAGTTGAAAAAAACGACTTTACTTTTAAATTTAATTAACTAATTAACTAATAAGTTTGCAATAATGACATTTTGTCTACTTTGTTTAATTTGACGTACAAACGTTAGTTTTTTGAGGCAATAGAGTCAATAAACTTTGGACAAGATGCATTTTTTTTAATCGAAGAAAAGCATTTTTTTGAAAATTAAATTTGTTAGTGTGTGTTCATTACGTTTTAGAAAAAATAATATACATCAAACATTTTTTTTTTAATGCTCTTTCATATGAGATCATATCTTTATAGCACTTAGGTATCCCTTTAAAAGTGTTTCACCAAAGACTCGTCAGAAATTTCTGATGAGTCTTTATTGATGAAACACAGTTTTAAATGAAAATTTTTTGATAAATGATTTTCTACAAATTTATTATTGCTCTGTTCTTTTAAGAACATTGAGTACTTTATATTGGAGAATACATTTTAAAGTTAGTATTTTATAGAACCACAACAATAACAAATATAAAAATAAAAACTAACTTCCAAAGAATAGCATTTTCACTAGCTTTATACTTTGCCTTTCCTTTCATGCAGATAACTTGAACACCAGCTGTTGATGGTGGAGTTGGAATTCTCACCTTAATTAAAAACAATTAAAATGAAAGTTTCTGCAACTATTGGAAACAAAAAAAATCTGTCAAAAAAAAACCCTACTTCAATTTTTTGTCCTAAAATTGAAGGTTTGTAGTGAGATTTAAGTACAACTTTAACTTCCATTTTTGTTCTCCCTACTTCTCTCACTAATGGAATTACACGGAATGGAAGACTAATATCTTTTGTTGTTCGATACCTAAATTTATTTTAAAATATTTGCATCTATATATCAAAAAAAAAAAAACAAATCTTAAAATTCATGAAAAAAACCTTGATAATTTATATACACTCTCAGAGGGTATAAAACTTCTTAAAATTCATGAAAAAGACATACCTCATTAATTCATATTCACCATCAGGAGGTATAAAACTTATACTTCTTTCACTTTCAAACTTACTAAGCTTAACACACTAAAAATAAAAAAATGTTTATGTTAAAAGAAAAACAATTATGCAATTACAAAGCTATAATTACAAAGATGTCCATATTCATATTTAATGTATTAAAAATTCTTAATACTAAAATAAAAAAAAACTTATAATTAAATTTAAATATAAATTTCATAAAATAAAAAATATATAAATATACTTATTGCTTATATTGATTTCAAAGATATGTTCCAAGTTTAACTTAAGTTACATTCTCTTATTTAAACTTTTAAGAATTATTTTAAGAAAGCTGTCACCCTGAAGATAAATATAATTCAAAATGTATTTAATTGTATTTAAAATGGCAACTGAATCTCATATTGTTATAATCTTGCTATAAAAGAATTATGCTTTATTGATTATGCTTTCTGGCATGTTCCGATGACTTGCGGTTTGATTTAGTAAATAATTATTGCTATAATTATGCTTTGAGAATTTTAAACAAAATTATTTTGAAATTCAACTCTATATAGTGAAATTGTGTCACCAGATTGTCAGCTGGTAACAAGTTAAAGTATTTTAAGATACCTCAAGCTTCTTTTTATTGAAGATTAAGGGTATTTATTTAGTTGTACAACATTAGAGACTAGAATTCTAGAATTGCATTATCTCTTTTATGATAAGGTACCCAAACTGACATAATAAACTCAAGAATCAATCAGATATAGAAAATTTAATATATAGAAATGTGCCTAGGCAAACAAAAGTTTTTTTTATCATGCCTAACACACAATTTACATAACTTGCTCACCCATAATACTTTTCTATTTCAAATTATGAGTAAAAATCACTCCAAGATCTCGTTCTGATTCTAATGTATTCGGTTTGCAACCGAATGCAGTTTTTATTTTAAATACTTATATAGCACATAATAACACATTCAAAATAACACGTCAAAATCAAAGCTAAGCAGCCAAATTGAAATTTCTTATGCAACTAAACAGAAGAACTAATTGATGGCATTTTATTCAAGGAAACTTTCAGTGTTTATAAAAAATTTTCTTTTCACTTAGAAACAAGTGTGGCATATGTTGACTCTGGGAGAAGTATATAAAACTGATCAAGTTTGGTAAATTTGATGAATATGTTTCTAATTTAATAAATTTAATTTGGCAATGACTCAAATAAATGGTTGATTGAAAGGCATACTTATTTCATATCAATATTGGAATACCCACATTATTGCAATAATGGTTAGCAGTAAACATTAAATATTTTTTTGGGGTTAAAAATCACCACCACAATCACCGCTTTTCTCGTGAAAGTAAATAGTATTGGATAAGTTAAACCCTTAGCAACATCCTTTCAAAAGCAATACTGATCAAGAACATATTCTTGTAAATTAACCTCTTTAAAGCTATTTTACTTGACTCTACATGGAACAGGTATAAACTTAGTTATCTTTTTTGCCATAGTTAACTTTATAATACAAGTAGAGTTTTATAATAATATAAAGTATACTTTCAATTATAAAATTTAAAGGGATCCCTAAGTGCTGATACAAGTTTTGTTCAAATATTAATAAATTTACCAAAACAATTTATTTATCAAAACATTAACAAAAATCCTTTTTCATTTTTAACGCCATATTGTTTTTCACATAGATAAGTTCTAACTAATTGATTTTTTTTTATTTTATCTTAAGTTATCTTTATTTTTTATCTTTAGTTATCTTAAACATGTCAATAAAAATAAGTATTGTTTTTAAAATTATATTTTAATGTTTAGATTTTCCCTTTTGTTGTCAAAGCTGAACATATTATAATGTTTAGGTTTTCCTTTTTGTTGTTAATGCTGAATGTTTGGGTTTTCCCTTATTTAAATGTTAGGTATAAAAAATGGGAAAAGATTGCTACATCTGCACGTTTTTGTGTAAGATCATCCGCTTTTTTTCTTTACTGAATTAACATCTGTGCAACAACATCCGAAATTTCATTGATGTCTAATAACATCTTTAGAAAGATGTAACTACATCCAAGAGTTTTTCTCAATGTGTAACTACATCTGCCTAAAATAAAGCATTATTAAATAAAATAAATTTTCGGACGTAGTTACATCTGAAAAAAATCAGATGTGCAACTACATATGGTTAAAATAATGCATTATTAAAAAAAAAAAATTCCGATGTAGTTACATTTATAAGTTACATTTATGATTATTATATTATATAAATGCTGCTACATCGACTGACAAATAGCCTGACTCGCAACGGAGTGCTGCTACATCGACTGAGGGTTAGGCTGCTACATCGACTGAGGGTTGCACGGATGTTATTATACATCGATGAAATTTCGGATGTTGTTTCACGGATGTTATTATACATGGCAAAAACGGATGTTATTTCCCTGACCCTAAAAAATAACTTTTTTAAAGAAAATTCTTTTAAAACTAGCTGACTTGTTATTTATATAATTTTTTCAAAGTATAAAAATAGTGGTGTAATATAGCAGTCATCCAGCAGGACGACTCACAAAGGACACCAGAAAATTTATAAGAAAAATACCATTCAATAAATATATACAGTTATTACATAAAAGAAAAGTCATTCAAATATTCCGTTTGTTTAACAAAGAGAACTGAATATAGCTGCGGGTTGTTAAAAACAAGTTGCTCTAATAAAATCAAAAAAAAAAATTAATAATACTTTTGGACTAAGTAAAAATACATAAATACAAATCTGATTTGCTGATTGTCGATGAAAATAAAATACTGTGTATGTTTTTTTTAAAAAAAAGCAATATCAAAGTTTAGTCTCATTTTTCATTTTGTCAAGTGGCATCTGACAACTGAAACGGAACATAAACTGAAATGCAGCAAAAATCACCCAAGACAAATTAAAAAGAGAAAATCCAAGCTCACTCATAAATTAAAAAGTTTAGCGCACTATTCATAAACCAAACCAGAGATTAAAGCAGAATTATAACATTAATAGGCTTAGAAACAGAAATATAAAAACTTGAAAACAACTGAAATGTTTTTTGTCAATATCTCCATAAATAATTTGTTTTAATAAGTATGTTGTTTGTGTTTTTTTGGTATGTTTGCTGTTAGTTTTACCATCTGGTAAGTTTGCTATATGTGTTACCATCTGGTAACTTTGCTGTTTGTGTTGCCATCTGGTTTTGGTTAGTTTGCTGTTTGTGTTGCCATCTGGAAACACAAACAGCAATGTGTTCAATCAATGTAGTTAAAAAACCACTCTACGTAATGACATAAGTATATTTTTAATGGTTTGCAAACTTTAAACAGTTAATAAAATTAATGAAGTAATAATATTGATTTTTTTTTATTATTTCTTGATTTTTTGAAAAACATTTTTTTTTTAAATTTAAGGACTAAAAATTGCACTGTTTCTCAAAGTAAATCTTTTATGTATAAAAAAACTGTGTAATGCACTGTACATAATTTTAAAATTATCTAACTATTTAGAATTTTATTTGTTATTATATTACATTTTAATAATCCTATATACATAGAAATATCTCTGGGAAAGTTCAGTAGTTTTACTAAATATTTTAACAAATCAAAATAAGAAATAACAACAAAAAGAAAAAACCTGGTGAAAAGTGCAATCATCTATAGCAATACCTGCTTTGTTTGTATTTCTAAAATCATAATAAAATACTTTTAACACATATCTTTTAAAACTCTGCCTGAAAAAAATATAAACATTCTCAATATGAATATATATATTCAATGACCAAAAATACAAAAACAATCAATACACATTACACTGTTTCACTTAAAAGTCATGAATAGATCATAGATCAACTTTTTATTTATTAATAGAACATCATCTGGACCACTTTTAAGTGTTACTCTTGATAGTCCTAACTTAAACTTTTTTACATGTTAATATCTATTATTTACCTTTTATATTGATGTATTTTATGCAAGTTCAATACCTTAAAATAATTCACTTTTTATTTTAGTTTTAGTGTTAAGAAAAAAATAAAAACACTTGGTATTTTTATTTAGTTGCAATATTATTAGTTGCAAATTATATAAAATAATTCTGTTTACAAAATTGCAAACTTATGTTTCACTTTAATTTTGCAAATTTCTTTTCTTTAAGTACGAAACTTTAATTTCTTTTTTGAGTGATTAGCAAGATTACAAGATATTACAATAATACAAATATATAATTTAAATTATGTAAATAATTTTAGTTAATCAATCCATAATTTTACATTAATTTATGCCGTACTAGTTCCATAAAATAATTTGTTTCACATTTTCTTATACCTTTTTCTGATTTATTTATGTGATATTTTCTTACTATATATATATATATATATATATATATATATATATATATATATATATATATATATATATATATATATATATATATATATATATATATATATATATATATATATAAATAGGCTTGGCCAGGAAGGCGTGTGATTTTAAGTCTTTATATGACCACACAAATAATATTTTGTTTTGACAATTTCACGGTTTTTAACAAATGAGCTAAAATTTAGCTTTTAATTAAACGTTAAAAATAATTCACTGCAAAACGCTTTTAAATAAAGTAGCTAATGATTATAATTAAAGTATCATTGAAAGTTGGTTTAAAAAAGTCTAAACTTTAATTCATATTATTTTATTAATTATATAAGAATTTTATAAGCAAAAAAAAAAAAAAAGTAATAGAAAAAAAAACTTAAATTTTATAAGCAACGACTTTAAACAGCGATGGTCTCTTTAATAAAGTTTATATATAAGAATCGTTAAAGTTGATTCAATCAAAAAGTAGAAAGATTTTGTTGAAAAGAAAAAAAAAGACAAAATTTTTTGTCTTTTTTATATATATATATGGCTTGAAATAACATCTCTCTGTCATTTTGTCCGACCCATATTTTATGTGCATTTATTTTCTAATCATTTTAGTTGATCCAAAATTATTAATAAATTCAGTATTGTATATAAACTTTATTTTTTTGAAAAACAGGGCTGCGTCAATAAAATACATCATTTTTTTGAGTTAATTTATTTCCTAAAAGACGCAAAAGATTACATTTTTTTAGAATTAAGCAGCCGGGTTTTTATCATTTATATTAAAACTTTGCAATAGTTATTAATTTAAATTTATAGCTTAGTATTTATTTTATTTTTTGTCTGATGGTTTTTATAAATTTCAAACAAATATTATAGTATTAATATTAATATATTATAGTATTAAATATAAAATATTTTATAAAAGTTTTAACGTAATAGTTATTTTAATGCTTATAGAAACCAGTACTCTTTATTACACCATTAAATTTGAGTTGTTACATAATGTTCGTTTTTGCGCTAAAATATTTTTTTGCAATAGATGACTTGCAAATGTTTACATTCTCATTTTCAAAAAAAAACATGAGCGCATACTTGTAGGCAGAAAAAAACAAATAATCAGAAATTTTCCATCTAAACGTTAAGATGTTTGAATGATTTTGTTAGGAAATTTATTCACATATTGAATTTTTTAACAAGAATTAAATTATTTTAATTAATTGTGTAATTAGTTACTCAAAAAGATGTGAAAACTTTAAATATAAATTTAAAATTAATAAAGTTTCTTTTGGAAAATCAGCTTTTAAAAGAAGACATTGAGACTGGATTAAAGCAATCCATAACATTACATAACATTGAAATTGCTCCAATTTCTAGTTCGATTCAAAAAAGAGAAGAGATAAGTACGCTAAAGTATACAAACCAGGATCTTTATCAATATTATTATCTACGATATAGAGCTTGATAACTATACTGAGAAAATAAATTATGACACCAAACCAACAAATAAAAAGTCTACTATTTCTAAATATTTTTAATACAATATTTATAAAGGAGAATTTTAAACTTTTTACTTTTAATTAACGCAGTACTTATTTGAAATATTGAACTTATTTGAAATATTGAACTTGAAAAATAAGCTTGACTAGAATAAAGTAAATATATTTTATACCAAAATCTAACATAAAATGAACAAAAAATTTTTTTTTCAAGATCTTAAACGGTTATATAGCTCTTTAAAAAAGTTAAAATTTACTCTTGATATTGGAGGACCATCTTTATTTTGTGCTTCTAAAGCACAATATAATAAAAAATCTAAACTTCATGATAGCAAACTTGGTTTAATTATGGTTTTATTATAAATGTTTAACTAGTATATAATAAAAGCCAGCTGGGGCAACTAGTTTTTTTATCTCCTGACTGGGTGATTGTGTATCAGACAAATTACTATATCAGAATAAACTTTTATCAGAAACTTAAACCTGGTGGCTATATTCTTACTGACAGAATGCTGATTCCTATCACTTATTGCTGTTCGATAACTATTGTGTCTTTTTATGCAAAATAATATGATTGTATCTTTAGGTTATATATTTATTAATTTGGTGAATAAAGCTTTCTATACCAGCTTGAGTTTTAATTTACAATTATTAATTGGCTACACCGAGGACTTATTGGAGCACCATTAAAAATCATAGCTTTTATAAAAGACTACAATTATCTGGACGCAAAATCTAGACAATTTTCTAATGCTCCTATACAAAATGTTCATGAATAGAGGAATTTTAAGTATAAAATATTTCCTGTTAATTATATGACTGTGAGGAACACTCAAATTATTAGATAATACCATGTTGAATAATATTGCGTTTGATCATTTTAATATGAGTGTAGTTAATTAATGTAAATGAATATCAGGGTGGCCAGCAAATTTTCATGTTCATTTTCCATGACTTTTCCCTGACTCTTACACAAATTCCCTGATTATCCAATGAAAATTTATCAAAACTTTAACATACATAGCAAGAAAAAATCTCACATAGCATTTTATAATTCTGGAAAAATTAAAGCATTTTATAATGCTTTAATTTTTCCAAACTAGGTTTTTATCATTTGCTGCTAACTTTCCCACCATTTTCAGTTGATTTGTTACTACTTCTTGTTACAATTGGCAATATTGTCTCTAACCGCTGCACCTCGGATGCTAAATTACTACTACTTAAAAATATTTAACTATGATACTGTTATTTATTAACTTTCAAAAGAATATTAAAAGCAATATGAATTGAAAAAACTTATAAGAACTTTTGTTGTTGTTATTTTATGAGATCAATCTGAATATAAATCTTGCTGTAGAACATAAAATACACAAATGTTTTTAATAGCAATCAAAGTTTATGAAAATAAATACACAAATGTTTTTAATAGCAATCAAAGTTTATGAAAATATATACACAAATGTTTTTAATAGCAATCAAAGTTTATGAAAATAAAATGCGGTAGTGGTGTAGTGGTAGAGCGCTTGCTTCATAAACAAGTGGTTCCGGGTTCGATCCCCACCACGTCCCTGGTAGTACCGCGCTCAACTCGTTTCTCCGCGCAGCGGCCTTGTTCGTCAAGGTTCGTGTTTCGGAGTTATAGAGTTGAGAGAGGGTTATATCCACAAAATAAGTAGCCTCCTTGTCTGTAGTGGCCTACTCGGCCTTGAGGAGGTGAATTAAAATAAAAAAAAAAAAAAAAAAAAAATACACAAATGTTTTTAATAGCAATCAAAGTTTATGAAAATATATACACAAATGTTTTTAATAGCAATCAAAGTTTATGAAAATATATACACAAATGTTTTTAATAGCAATCAAAGTTTATGAAAATAATAAAAACTTTTATTTTTACAATATTAAAAAAAAATGTAACTAATTATTTATGTAATTAGTTACATTTTTTATGTAACTAATTATTTCAATTATTTTTCAAAAATAAAATAAAATTTAAATGTAACTAATTACTTCAATCATTTTTTAAAATAAAGACAAAATTTTATTTAAGGATATAAAAGAAAAGCGAAAAATACTTATGAAGTGTATTTATATTATGAACTTAAGAATGTATGCTTGTAAAGTTTTAATGTTTTCTGCCTACAAGTATATGCGCGCAAGTTGTTTACAAAAGATGTGACAATGCACGGAAAGTTTATTATCATTAAAACTTTTGAAAAGTTTTATAAAAAAATACATATTTATATAAATGTAACTATGTATAATACTCTTTGATAAATTAAATAAAATGGGTATATTCTAAATATAATTAATTTGTTACTTTATTTAATAAAGTAAACTTAATAACTATTGTAAACTTAATTTTACAGTAAACTTAATAACTATTGCATTTAATATATTAATTTATGTATTTAATAATTGTGTATTTTTATTATACATTTTTATTATATATTTAATTATGTATTTAATAATTACATAATTTATGTATTGAATATATTTACATAATAATTTTTGTATTTAATAATTTAGATAGCATTTCACACAGTATAGTAATTTTTAAAAACATAGTATAAATATATTTTCCTTTTCAAATTTTAGTTTTTTGAGCTTAGATTTTTTCTTTTTGTTTAGGATTTTTTTTTGTTAGATAATTAATCATACAAATTTTCTTTTTATTTTCAGCACATTTTGAAATGCTTAGAGTTGTCAAAACGAATTGCGTGGTCAAGTTGTAAAAACAAAATAATTTCAGAAGTAATTTCAGTATGGTCAGAAATGGCCACACTGTGTGTGTATTGTATATACACACACACAGATTTTTTAAAAAGAAAAAAACAATTGTTATTTGCAAAACATATTTAACTAATTTTAAAGTTAATACATATTTTAAAAATCAAAATCTTTTTTATTCATTTAGTTATGGACAACACATGATTGTGTCAAATGTCAAAAAAATAAACAAATATTTTTATATTTTAAAAAATCAGCATCTAAGTTAACATTCAATAACATTATTACAAAATAACATTTCCATATTTTTTTGAGTTAATTATTCAATTAAACTAGTTTTGTGGCAATTTAGTTAACTGTGGTAGTTTAAAAAAGTTAATGTTGATAAATATGAAAAGCAAATAAAAGTAATTTTTATTTATTAAAAGCCTTATATTATATATATATATATATATATATATATATATATATATATATATATATATATATATATATATATATATATATATATATATATATATATATATATACATATATATATATATATATATATATATATATATATATATATATATATATATATATATATATATATATATATTCTCATTATTGCATATGTTCTTACTTTTTATTAGATGAATCTGAAGATGAATCTAGAAGAGAGGGTTTGCTTTGTTTGTCAACAACTAATTTGTCATTCATACCAAATTTGCACTCAGGCATACCAGATAAATAACTTTTAACAACAATACGACCAGAAACATGAGCACTTAAAACTTGACCTGAATAAAACAAAAAATTATCTATTATCTCAATTTTATTATGAGCAATAAAATTTAAAAATAAGTTTATAAAATGTGTAAATAACATAATGCCAATAATGAATTAAAAAAAACTTAATTAAAAAAAGTAATTTAAAAAAAAAACACCCCTTCCCCTTTTTCTTTCTCTGGATTATGTGATCCAGCTTTATTATTTAGAAATTTAAATTACTTTATTGATGCTTAAACTTTGTAACTTATGTATATTTGTTTGGAGAGTAAAAAAGTCAGGTTGAGATAAAGTTTCATTTGATGAAATTTTATCTCAACCTGATGTAGCACACTTCCTTTATGAAACGAGCGTAATTTATCAAACCGCATCTATATTATCTCTATCTGTTGTTATAATAATTATTATTATTGTTATTATTATTTTCTAATATATATTTTGCTATTCATACAATAAAATAAAAAAATACTAAGAAACATTTTCAAATACAAAGAAATACTTTCATAAAATAAAAAAAAGATTTATATAAACAGACAGGGGGGGGGGGGGGGGCTCAAAGAAAATATGTATGACCGGAGTCACCACACTCTTTTCATAGAACAACAACAACATTTAACAAGTGTAAAATAAAATATAAATTTTATAAAAAATTATATAAAACTCTGTTAAAATATGAAAAAATAACAATCTTTTATATATAGAATAAAAGACAATAAATAGAATACACTCCTAGGTAGATAGTATAGCGTAATATAAGAAAATAAATTTAATAAAAAGTTAATATATCAAACTTCAAAGCTTTCATTTGATTTCAAAATTTCTCTTTTTATATGAAACTTGAATGAATTTACTGATTTGACCATACTGAAATGGTTATTTTTAAAGCTGTTCCATATCTTAGGCCCTCCATATGCTATGCTGCATACTTTATATTGAGTTAATTTAAGGCAGTGATATGTAAGCCAAAATTTTAAAAATATAAATTACATATCACATGTTATAAATTATAAAAAAATAAAAATAAATAAATTACATATCTCATTAGATCTCAGAAAATAATTTTTTTTATTTATTTATTTTAAATTCTGTTTTAAAGTTGTTTGGTGCAAGATTTTTAAAATGATTATACATGAAGATCATGTGTTTAAACCTATTTATCTTTTATACATTCACTATTTGTAGTGGATTATGTACATCATGCCAATCATTTTGTTTGTTTTTGATTCAGTGTATTTTATGTGGGAAAGCCAAGATAAGTTTTTATCTACAAAAACTCCTAGGTGTTTTAAAAATTTCTGTTTTTTAATTTGTTTATCATTTTTAAAGAGAGCTGGTAACGCATTTGGTCAATCAAATCAGTAACTGAATGTTTTATTAAAGTATTTTTCTGTAAACCAAACTGTTTGGGGTAAAAAAGTTTGTTTTTAGCGAAATAGAAACAAAATCTGTTATACATAACACACTCAAATATTTTTGAGAAAACAGATAATATGGATATAAGTCTATAATTTGAGATAATGGAGCTATCATTGCTTTTACTAATCGAATAAACTTTAGGTTGCTGAAGTTTTTTTGTTTTTTTATATTAGCTGATATTCCATCAAAACGCTGAGATTTATTTATTTTTAAAGATGAGAAAGCATTATAAATATCTTTTACTATTGATTCACTGACACATTATAAATTATCATAACAATTTAAATAGATTTTAAATGAACCAATCAGAGATTTTACCAGCTAAATAAAAGTGTCCCCTCTAATTACTTGGCTTTTAATGCAATATGAAAATTTATGACAAAAAAAACTATATGGTTATCAGTTTTAACTTGAGGTTATATAAAAGACCTAAAAATTGTCAAATTTATCAGGGTAAAAATCCTTAAATTATTTATAAAATCCCTAATATTTTTTTTATGTGTATAAACTTTACATTAAATAATGCAGAATTTAATATTTTAAACAATTTTTATTTTGACATCTTCTTGTAACACCTAAACTTAAAGTTATTTACAGAAATCTAAAAACAAATAATTTTTTTTTTCCAATAATTGACTCATTTAACATTTATTTGGTTGTTTTTCAGATATAATTAAACAAAATATTTTCAAGATGTCAACAAGAAAAACAGCAAATAAATCAAATAAATACATGGTGAATGAATGCTTTAATTAAAACATTTTTGGTTTGGAAAACTTCCCACTTTAAAGCAAGTGCTTTAAAGATGTCTTTACTTTAAAGACTATAGAAAATCTAGCATTCATTGAGATGTTAGTGTAGAACTATTCAATCAGTGGGTAAATTATAATGCTTATCCATTATCTGTCATTAGAATTAAAACAAAGCTCATCAGTTACACTGAAAATTTTTATAAATTTATAAACTATGACAAAAAAAAAAAAAAAAAAAAAAAAAAAAAGACAAAAATATGAAACAGATGCATCAGGATCTATAGAAGCATATCAATTATTCGATGTGCATCAAAAAGACCACAAAAAATTAGAAGAAATTAAAAAGAAATTTCAATAATAAATGACAGATAAAGAAATTTTATGAGGTAAGTATAAGATTAAAAGATCATAATAAATGCTATTAAACACATTCATACTGAATTCCTATTAAAACTGTTTTTTTATACATATTACTTAAAAAATCTCAAATAAGTGATAGAGTTGTTGCAGCTATTGCTTCTGTTACATTGATAGATTTTGGAGTTATCACTAAAGACAAAACATGCAGCATGTTGTTGAAAAGTATTTCTATCATATATTACTACTAAATACTTATCTACAATCATTTAGTTATAATTACAATTGATTCAAGACAACTTTCAAAAATAAATTAAGAAAATGAGAAGAATTGCAATCAGAAGAGAAATAAATCCTGTTCAAAAAGGTCAAAGACATAGACTTTGATGGCAGGAGATGCAACCTTTGCGAATTGCAAAAATAATGGGAAACACACACTGCTGAAGAAGCATTATGTCATCACTGGTGAGCCAGGTAATTAATACCTAGTATCAAGCATCTATAAATTAAAACTAAACTACGTATATTTATAAAATATTCTGTATCTATGTTATTAGAGATTTTTATTTTACAGGTGACTCTTGCATTGATCACATCACACCAAAAAAAGCCAAGGAACTAGATGTATTGCATGGAATATTTAAAACACAAAAGGGTACAAAGCATCAAACAAGACTGAACTTAGCATAGGCAGATAGAATCAATGTTAATACTGGTCATTTGCGCGATTCCATTAGATATTTGGAAATTTTTTTCTTGGAGTTTTTTAATTACAGTAGGATATTTGCATTTTGCATCTATATAAGTTTAATGCATATTTTTATGAAAGTTAATGAAACTACTAAAGGGCCAGATAAATTATCTAAAGCCATTAGCTCACAGCTGATTGGAAATGTTTCCAAATGGGGTGTAGAAAAGTTAAGACCCCAATTCCAAGTCCAAAATTTGTCATACTAGACCAGGGCGCGACAAATCGACGAACGTGCGAACGTTTGTTTATAAAAAGACGGAAAAACGAATGTCAGGTTTCATTACTTTTACTTAAGCAAACGTTGGTGTTCGCTTAAATTTTTTAAAAACGAACTCATAACTTCAGCAATTTTTTTTTCTAAATAATTGTGTGATTAATAGTTTTTTATTTTTTATAGAAAAAACATTATTAATATAAAAAAAAAATAAGTTACTAAAATTTAAAATGCAGTTTCAATGACATGTTGAAACCGTGTTAATAACCGTGCTTTAATAGCTTTTTTTTAAAGTTAGCAACTGTAAAAAAAGTTTTGTTTTAGCGTGGTTTTTACATGCGTTTACAAAAGAATGGCAAATTTAAGTTAAAATGAATGCATTTGCATTACTTTAAACAAAACTATGCTAAAACATTCTTTTTTTTAAAAGTGTGCTTTTTTAAAAATTTTCTAATTATCATTAAATTAAAGTAATGTTTACTTGCCGTTTTTAAAGTTTTGAAAAAAAAATTTGCAGAAATATGTATAATTTAATAGAATTTATAGAACTATTATGTTTATTATAGTTTTCATTTTTTATTGTGCGTTTAACAACACCAATAATATGATATTTTTTTATTAAATACTTAATATTATAAATATAATGATATCATATCAGGTATTTGATAGTAACTTATTAAATTATAAATTTAATAACTTGTTAAATGCTTAATATTATATTATTATTTTTAAATGTTTTAAAAAAGAAATGTCAAAATATTTTTTGTTTTATTTTTAGTTCCCTTTTATTTAAATTTCATCAAGTTTGTATCTTCTTTTTAAGAGTTAATAAACTAAATTGAGAAAAATTCACTTAATATTTGTATTAATAGATAACAGTTTACAGTCAAAAGGTTATTGCATATTAGTTATCATTAATTTGCGCACACTTTGCAAATGCGTGAAAAATTGTTTTAAATTAATAAAAAGTTGATAAAATTCAATTAGTATCTTTGATATATCTAATTAATATATATGTTATTAACTAGAAGTTAATTAAAAGTTATTTGAAAATATAACTAAAAGTTTAATAAAAAGTTATTTAAATTGAAAAGAAAAAAAAAATTGAAAAAATTAAAAATAAAACTGGCTTATTCTTGCAGAAGACAAAGGTTCGAAGTAGAGGTGCACAACTATCTATTTATGAAAAAAGTCCTCTATATCTAGAATTTCTCTTAAATTAAAAAAAAAAAAAAAACCTTTAAAAAAAAGGGTGTGTGGGGAGGATAAGGGGGGCGGTGTGTGTGTGTGTGTGTGGGGGGAGTTACATATTTGACATTAAACTCTTAAATTAGACGTTTGTCAATAAATAAAGAAAGAAACGTCAACGTTTATTAAAAAAACCCGATTTATCGCGCTTTGTAGACAATCAAATCATTGATGACTTATCAACTGACTAATGCTATGCTATTGCATAATTTTGCCACCTACTTATATTAAATAGCAATGCGCTTTGATTGGATAATTAATATTATTTCCCTT